CCAGTTGTTGAACCATGCCAGAAGGGACTATCTGTAAACTGGTCTGTTATGGACAGGGGAATAACTGTAATAGAGTCTAGCACATTAAGTGGAAGCAGCTCTATAATCGGACTAAGATCCCAATTTTTATCACTTGAGATGAAGCTAGCAACAGGCAAATCAATCAACTCTTGTGGAATTGGTTGTATAGCAGAATCCAGGAGCTTCTTTTGGCCAACCCAAGTATCATGCCAAAACTTGATGTTGGAACTTGAACCTACCTGCCATCTAACACCCAACTGCAAAACATCTCTACATTTTAATATACTTCTCCAAGTTACAGAGGAGGCGGATTGTGATGGACAATTCATGAGAGACCCTGTATGGAGATATTTTTGGGAAAGAGCTTGACACCAAGGCTTGTTTTGTCCTGAGAGGAGTTGTCATCCCAACTTTGCAATGAAGGCCTTGTTGTTCTCAAAAGAAGTGCGTAAACCTAACCCTCCCTGTTCACGAGGCCGACAGACATCACCCCAGCTAACTAAGTGAAGTTTAGCTGAGTTACTATCTGAGCCCCACAGAAACTTCCTGTTCAAACTGTCAATGGCATCACAAGTACTCTTGGGTAGTAAAACAGATTGCATGCTATAAGTTGGAATTGATGAAGTTACAGACTGTACCAAAATTCTTCTACTGGCAAAGCTTAAAAGTGACTGCTTCCAGCTCGCTAGTTTAATCTGAATTTTTTCCACAATGTACTTATAAGTTGCAGCAGTTGAACGCCCATGTATGATAGGGACTCCAAGGTAGACACCCAAATTGCATGTTAGAGGAATGCCACAAAGAGAGCTTAGAGCATTTGCAACATTGCTTTGGATGTTTGGCGAGATATACAGTTTGGATTTAGCAAGATTAATTTCAAGACCAGATCTCCCTGAGAACTCAGATAAGCAATCCATTACCATGGCTATCTGAGTCTGAGATGCTTGACAAAATAACATTAAATCATTAGCAAAAAAGAGATGCGAGAGAGCTAACCCCCCTCTTGAGACTTTGAAAGGCTTCCAAGAACCTGTCTGTACCTGGCTCAAGATCATGTGGGACAATTTCTCCATTGCCATAATGAAAAGGTAAGGTGAGAGTGGATCACCTTGCCGCAAACCATGCTGAGGCTGAAAATATGGAAGTTCGTTACCATTCCACAAGACTGAAAGCTTAAGTGAAGATATAGAGAACATGATCAACCTGATTAGCGGAGCTGGAATGTTGAAATCCACTAAGACCTCTAATAGGAAATCCCAAGAAATGCTGTCAAAAGCTTTATGCAAATCAATTTTAAAGGTCGCGGCACCTATCCTTCCCTTCATTCTACGCATGGAATGGATTGCCTCTTGTGTTAGTATTATGTTATCAGTTGTGCTTCTCCCTGCCAAGAAACTATTTTGAAATGGGCCAATAAGAGACTGGAGGTGCGGCCGTAGTCTGTTAACAATAACCTTTGACAGCACCTTATAAGCAACATTGAGGAGGCAAATTGGCCTAAACTTTTGAATGATGTCTGGACTCTCACCTTTAGGAATGAGAGTGATATGAGCTTGAAGCAAAGACGTATCAAAATAACCATCAGTAAGTGCTTGATTAACAAAAGAGAGCAATGTACCTGAAACGACAGCCCAATGTTTTTGATAAAAAATGGGTTGAATGCCGTCAGGTCCAGGACTTTTAAGACCCTTCATAGAAAAGAGAGTAGCTTTAACTTCATCCATAGAGATAGGAGCTAGCAAAGAAAGACTATCATCATCAGTGAGGCATGGCTGAAGGTTTAAATAGGATTGCGAAGGAGGCTGGGTATCCTTATGAGAGAATAAACTCTTGAAAAAATCGTGAACATGTTGCTTAAGATCTGCCGGATCATGAACCCATGAGTCTCCAATTTTTAAAGCAGAAATTTTATTCCTACCCCTTCGAATGATTGTGGAGGCATGATAGAAATTTGTATTTCTGTCTCCAGAAGCAATCCAATCCTGACGAGATTTTTGACACCAGAAAAGTTCCTCAGCATGGAGAGCTCGATGATATTCGTCAAGCAATTCAACTTCCAAGTTTTGCAAAAAATGAGAAATTGCATAGTATTGGGAATTTTGGATTCCTGCCAACCGAGCTTGTAAGTGCCTTTTTTTTTTAAATATATCACCAAAAACATCGCGGTTCCATTGAATACAAGTCTCACGAACAGAACTGATAGCATCTGGTAAGGAAAGACTATGAGCTGACCAAGCTTCTGAGAAAACTGTCCCAAAGTTTTCATGAGTCAACCAAGCTGCTTCAAATCTCATTGGCTTTGCATTGCGGTTCGCTGGAGAAGAGGTATCTACACAAAGCATAACAGGGTGGTGATCACTACAAAGACGAGGACGGTTTATAATCTTGGCCTCTGGGTATGCCTCCAAAGCAGACAAATTAAAGAGGGCACGGTCGAGCTTTTCTCGCAGAGATACTCTGCCATTTATCTTCCGAACCCAAGTAAAAGCACACCCAAGGGACTCTTTTGAGTGTAAGCCACACTGAGCAAGTCGATCCCGAAATCTTTGTGCTCGAACAAAGCGGCTTCCAGCTCGCGGAGAAGCTTCACCCGCTGATGCAATATCATTGAAGTCACCCATAGCTATCCAACTTCCAGAAATGGTAGGAGCTAATTGAATAAACTTATCCCAAAAAATACTTTTCATTTCTCCATGTGGTTGTACATAAGCAAACGTAATGATAAAGGAAATGTGATGTTGGGAAAGAGAACAATGGATAAATTGAGTATTTATATCCAGGACTTCCAAATAAACAGAAGATGATTTCCAAAATAGCCAAAGGCCCCCTGCACGTCCTTGAGAAGGAACTCGAAACTGCTGGTCAAACCCAAATCGCTTCATGAATTCAAGAGCTTTAACACTATCGTCGGCTTTTGTTTCCAAGAAGCAAATGACATCTGGCTTATGCATCTTCAACAATTCTTTGCATTCTCGTCGGAACGGGCCATGCTGAACCCCTCGACTATTCCACGTTATAACCTTCATTAAGAAAAGATGTCAGATTTAGTGGCTGTACTAAAAACAGCCAAAGTGTGGGAAGTTTCAACCATAGAAGGCTGAGATTCTTTAGAGGATGTGGTGGTGGTTGATTGACCCGTGTCAGAGCTAGTGGGAGAAGGATTACATAACTGTGTTGTGGGCGGATCCCCCACTAGGCTGGGGAGCATTCTTTGGGTTAAGGTAGAACCTGTCAAAGATTGTTGAGCTGTTTGGTTTGAAGGAAGCTCTAAGGCATTTGCATCAGAGGGTTTCTTTGGCAATGAGGATGTAATGTAAGGCTTCGGGTGAAGGGGTTTAGCTACTTTGGAAATTGGGCCCAAAGGTTTATTCTTTTTTTTTGTTGTTCTTGAGCTTGGGCTTTATAAATGAAGTCGAAGGTGCCGGCGGAGGCTTAGCAACAGCTAAGGCAAGCTCAGGAGAGTTGATGGTAGTAGGTGCAGGCTGGCCTACTCGGGCTTTGGCGTCCACATCCTGTGGAGCTGTGTGATCTGGCAATAAAGTAATATCCATAGGGGAGGTAATCAATGGTTGAGTCATATCCTGCGGAGCAGATCCCTCCATGCTAGTATCCTTTCCTTTATTAGAAATATGCAAATTTGAATCCTCCTCCATAATCTCCGCAATAACCTCAAATCTGTTAGTGCGTGATTTAGTGGGTGCACTTGATTTTGCACGTCTATCCAAGCCCACAACTTTAGCCGAGGTTGAAGGCACTGAATTCGAATTTCCTGTGTTTAACGGTTGAGAAGAACCGTCACCTCCAGTCAACTGCTCGGCCGAACGGTGAGGTTGAGAGCGACGACGTTGTTTTTTTTGTTGCACCATCCAAGGACCGAAAACCGTGTTGTTATCCACAGGGTCAGGTTTGAGAGATTGAGTCAACTCAACCATGGTTTTGGCATTTGGGTTACTAACTGGTGAAGGCTTCCCCGGATTCTTGAAGTGACAAAATTCCATTTTATGACCAAATTCGCCACAATGAAAACATATTTTATGCAAACCTTCATACTCAACTAATATCAAGGATTGAGGCAGATTCTCAAGATCAAGATCCATAGAGGAAGGCAAAGGTTGGCTCAAATCAACTTCGACACAAACACGAGCATACTGACCTCTCGTGGCGAGAAGAGTAGTGGGATCAACCTTGATCGGCTTCCCGATCTTGCTGCCAAGATACATACAGATGGCTTCATAAAAGCAAAGAATGGGAACGCCAAACAATTTGACCCATACGGCAGTTTTGGGCGCTTTAGCACGCGCTAGATGAAACCTAGGCTCCCATGGCTGCACAGCAAGATAATGATCAAACATCTTGTACGGACCGCCAGTTAATACCATGGAACAATCCTGAGATGAAGAAAATTTAACGATGTAATATCCCAAACCCACATCAATGATTTCGAATTCATGGAACTTTAATCTTATAATGTATGAGTATTAGTAACAAAATCTTTATCTTCCATAAGTGTTGGGAATTAAATTTGGCACTTAAATTGGCTCCCGCAAAGTTTTACTACATTTTTCATAACAATTAACAAAAGATTTTTAAGGAAATATGTTCTTATATACTTAAACTTTTAATATTTCAAATTTGGGTTTAAGTTTGATTTAGACTTTACAATTTTACTGACTAAGAGTCTAGGACAATTAAACGAATAATTTAATTTCATTTAATAGTTATTGTCATGCTAATTTAAGAATTTTTATTTTTTTAATAACATATATGATTATATGAGTTTGTTATTTTATTATTCAAAATAAATTGAATTATAAAATAAAAATTATTAGATAAAAATAATTCATAACATCAAAAAAACTTATAATTTATTAAATAATTTACGTTGTACAATTTAATATTTTAATTAATTTATTCTGAACTACAATATACTTTTCGAATCTTCAATGCATTCCCCTTTGATATCAATCTCAATCCTTTCAGATTCAAGGATCCAACTCCAAGTTGCTATTTAGGCTGGTGATTCCAACTCAGAGATTCACATGAATGCAATCCATTTTTAAGCTGGTTCTGTCCAAATACGTAATACCTAATGTCCAGCCATTTTATTATAATAACTTAACTAATCAATACCCTTGATTCAACTTGTAATAAATTTTAAATTTTCTCACCGTCCAAACACCATATTCCAACATATTCAATTGCCAACGTGAGATGTACCTGAACTTTCCTTTTGGGTTGGAGAGATATGGCTGGATTCTGCTTCCCGGATTCATTGTTTCTCGAAGGAAATGGGAAATGTATAACGTGGAAAATATTCTGCTCCTTTGACCAGGTCATTCATCAATACCCCCCATCTTCCCATTTCCCTTACATACGCACGTCTTCCTTTCCTAGGTTGGTTTCTGCTTCTTGAAGCATTTCCATCTGGGATTAAAAGGATTTCCACAATCCAAACACACTCCTAACATTATTTATTGTCTCCACTCATGGATTAATCATTAATGTGTGTATGTGCTAGCTGGATATATTTGACTACAATATAGCTAGTGGAATACGAGCCCACTTGGTTAACAAAAAAAAAAATTTTTTTGATTAGTGTATACTCTGATTTAACATAGTACATAATATATTTATTAAAAAATTATTATTTTTTAATATAAAATTTAAGGTAAATAAACTTAAAAATGCAAAAATATATACATAATATAAAAATTAATTGAATTAGTTATACTTAT